GTAATTCCATCGCACCTAATCCTACTGACACTGCATCGCATATCTCGGGGTGATAGAACATCAGATAGGCCCATCCGATACAAATATCTTGGCAGTGCATGAGCTGGAACCACAAGCCAGCCCATATCCTAAGAGTGAGGAGGAGGGAGCCTGAAAGGGATATAAACTCTTCCCTCCTGCCCAGGAGTTGTCCTCTCTCCTCACCTTTTACCACTCACTCCAAATTGGAAACCATAGCACAACATTGAGGATTACTTATATATAAAAGTACCTGCTCAATAGTGCAAGGTTCCCTAGGAGTAACCAAAAGAAAGGTGTTTCCCCTTAAAATCCCTCTCTGAGACAAGGCCTAGTAGACCTCCCCCTCTAGGACTCTTGATTGTGAGGAAATCACCCAAAAGTAGAGGAAAAGATAACCAATACAGGAACCAGGATATCAGAGCTGATTACCCCAGCTCTAGCCTGTATTATAAGAGTAGGTTCTTGCAGATAACTGACAAGCCCAGTTATAAGTCAAGGCACTCTAGCAAGGGAGGAAACCCTTGCCATTGAGACTTCAGAAGTCTAATAAACCCTCTTTTGAGAGGTCAACTAGCTGTAGTCTGTACTTGGTGGTACCAGTACAGACTTGATTAGTGTTAACCTTGAGTCTGAAGCCCAATCCAGCTCCAGACCCAGCTTGAAGTAGCCAGGTGGGCTGCCACACAGAAGCATCCCCCTGACATCAGATATCCCTCTCCTGGTTAAGCTGTCTTGTTTTCTCCCTTGCTTTCAGTTTCTCTCTTTAAATAGTTGTCTCTCTCATGCTTTTTCCATATCATTCATCATTCATTATTATTTTCAATCATCAATTACTTACTACCATTTAGCACTATTATTTCTTAAGAATTATCAGCCTGAAGAATTTGCCATCTTTTACCTCTATCTTTGTTGAATCCCATCCCTTTTTGAGAGCCTCTCAGATGTCAAGCATCTCACTCACCACCAGCAAAAATTACTCGGACTTCACTGTCCAAGAACACCTCGGACAGCCTTGTCCGAGTAATTTTTGCTGGTGGTGACTAGTTATCAAGAATAACTAGTCTAGTGATAAGTAAGTCTTGATTGACTTGTTTATCAGCTCAGAAGTGCAAGTTATATCACAATATGACTTATATTGGCATGTAATATAACTCCACTCTCTGACACCTTCTCACCCTTGAAAATTCCTCACCCATACTTCAACTCAATTTCCAACACTCTCCAGGTATAGTGGAATCCCTCTTCAACAATCTCAGAACCTCACAGTTCCTGGCCATTTGCAGACAAGAGCCCCAGTCAACTTATTCACCACTGTATCAAAAAATCATCAAGGCTGCATTCAGCTCAAGCCGATTCTGAAATCTCTCACTGAAAACTCAATACCACAAGTTTGTACATACATGGATTCAGAATTCCAACTCCACTGCCAAGAAAATTGCATTGCATAGAGGCATGCTATGTCACATAGCAGGCCAAAATGCGATGCAATAGGTCTATTTTCCAAGGTAGGGACCTTGAAAAATGGTCCATAGTATCACATGAAGACATGCTATGTTACATAGCAAGCTTCCATGCAATGCAAATATCTTGGCAGTGTAGGTCTATTTTCCAAGGTAGGGACCTTGAAAAATGGTCCATAGTATCACATGAAGACATGCTATGTTACATAGCAAGCTTCCATGTGATGAAAATATGTTGGCAGTGATGGTTATAATCTGCACCATGTTAAAGTGACCCACACCTACACTTAGGTTGTGCTTCCTCCTACACATTCCCATCACTCTGGATAAAGACTGGATAGCCTAGCAGTAAAGGCAACACATTGACATTGTGTCTTGGCTCACATGCTCAGGTCCCAGGTTCAATTCCTGGTCTAGTCAATTCTTACTGACCTCATGTCACAACATATCCTTACCTATCTTGAATATGCCTCAGCAAGGAGAAGACCCAAATAAGTCTAGGGACAAGTTGATAAAGAAAGATGTGTACCCATGAGTAGAGAATCAGTGTATTACTGTCAGGGAGTAGCTTCTTTCTGGCTAATCTCTTGGCTAAAGCTGTGAGTGAAGGTACTATAGTACCACAATTAACAGCTACACTAGTAGTGTCAGCCCTGAGGACTGCTCAGCAGTCCCACAGAATGTCAAACACCAGTTACAGAGAGGACTGTAATAGTACACATGTAAATACAAGTGTAACACAAAGATTACACATAGTACTAATAAGAATACATATGTAATACCAAACCTGAGGAATGCTCAGCAACCCCACAGATTTTTAGAATCATATCACAGAAAGTACTGTAACAGTAAAGAGGTGTAAATACCAATGTAACATAAGATTACATATAGTACTAAGGAGAGTACATATGTAATCATAAGAGTAAAACAACATTAGACATATGTATACATATGTAATCACAGTGCAGGCTCAGTATCAAGAGCCCTAAGTATGTACTTACAACAGGAATGGATGCACAAAACTGTAATAAGTACTCACCCACAAGTTGACCATGGTTGCCCCAGTAACCACAAGTTGGCCAAGAGTTGCCCTAGCAACCCCAGCAACCACCACCGCCAAGAAAATTGCATCACATAGAGGCATGCTATGTCACATAGCAGGCCAAGATGTGATGCAATAGGTCTATTTTCCAAGGTAGGGACCTTAAAAAATGGTCCATAGTATCACATGAAAGCATGCTATGTTACATAGCAAGCTTCCATGCAATGAAAATATGTTGGCAGTGCACAAGTTGGCCAGGAGTTTTTTCATTCCCCCAACCTTTTACCCCAACACCTGAAATAGCATAATAAGCACAAAATTGAGGATACTTTTAAATATGATATCTGCTCAATAGTGCATTGTGCTATAGGTGTAGTACAAGGGGTTCACCCATAGGCTGGCAGACCTTGCTCCTTGACACTTTTGTCTGTGAGGACTCACAAGGGTTAGAGCTAAAGACCACCCAAGCAGGAAAAGAGCACCCTGGCTTGTAAAAGAAGGATCAGAGTGGAGTTTTACTGGTGCCTAAATGTAACTCTGATTTCCAAGTGAAGATTAGAAATTCCAGACCCAGTCTTCCAAATTCTCATCCTTGAGGTCAACTAACTTCAGTCAGTACTTGGGGGATTCCTAGTACTACTGACATAGTTGTTTAAACTGGGTCTATGGTACCCTTCACTCCCACATATTTTTCAAGTAGTTAGCCTTACAGAAGCTACCACTGACAAATGGTCTTTCTAGACTGACTGGCTTTTGAACAAGGAGAATATTCTGCTGAGCTAGAACTCATAGAAAATTTGTATGTGGGAGGCCAAATAGAAGGATGTGTTTTACTGAAGAAAGCTTTATAGATGTTTTTCATATTCACTACAAAAAAGTATTATTGTGACAACCATATATTTTGTAGAATTTTCTAATCTTCAGGATTATGTAAGTCACAAAACCCTTTATTTCAGGAAACTTCTTTACTATGGAATAGTACAGGAATATAAAAGAACCAGGCTCAACTTTTTGCTTACCCTAGCTTCTCCTGAGTAAAGCCTTTATATTTGCATACAGTCCATCAGAATGGGTTTTCAGTGGTTTTGAAGTAAAGATACCAAGATTTTTTTATGTAATGTAAAAACTTGCAGGAACTTTTTGCACAACCCAGGAAGTCCCTTTATAATGCCAAAATCTTTGATGACTAGTCTTTCATGAACAAAATTTTTGCAACTCACATGTCAAAGACATGGCTGTTCTATTTTTATGATTTCCAAGCATTTTTTTGCCTTGCTGCAGCTTTTTAGGTATAGATTTTTTTTTTTTTGTGCCAGCTATGGAGATATCATGCTTCATTTTAAGATTTTGAGTTCCCAGTCATTGGTTATTGGGAATGCATGTGGATCACATGTCATTTTGGAGGGCAAAAAAGAGCCTTAAAAGCATAAGAATCAACAAAACCATTTACTTGCCACATCATTTGGGTGAAACTGCAGCAAAAAAGTACTGGCCACTGCTGATTGTGATAGCTTGATATAAAAGATCTCCATATATTTTTGCCACAAAATCCTTAACCCAAACATTTTTTCCTGCCAAAAAAAAGAAGCTTTCAAAGTATAAAACTTAACAAAATCTTTCTTAATTTGAAGTGGGAGAAAAAGGAAGCCACATTAATCAAACACTTTCCTATTATGAGAACTGAATAATTCAAGAAATAAACACAGTTCTTGCAATAAAAGCCCCAACAAAATCAATTTTAAAAGGCAAAGAAAAGTCTTTGAAATCACAACCAGCACCAAAATGAAGTTTTTGGGACCTGATTACCATGAAGACTCATTTTTAAAAGCCTAATAACTTCAAATCATGACATCATCCAATGTTACTCTACTGCTTAGTGCAACAGAAACCCTAACCAAAAAAAATTTGAAAAGCAACACTGCCAAGATATTTGTATCGGATGGGCCTATCCGATAGTCTATCACCCCAAGATATGCGATGCAGTGTCAGTAGGATTAGGTG